GGTTTAGGGTTTAGGGTCCCAGATGTTCAAAATCACTCAAAGCAGGAAATGCCTGACTGATGCAGGCTGTGGGTGGGATTGGCGCTCGTTCAGCTGACCAAGGGCATCTCCGATTTCGTCACCGTCCTACCTGCCCAGGCATCTGGCTGGTCCTAAAACAACAGTGCTTTGACTTGGGATATTCTGCCAGAAGTGGAGGGTGAAATTCAGCAACATTTTTTCATGGTTCAAGGAGTGTGATATTATTGACTTTATTTGCTACAGCGCACGCATACCTCTGGATGCAATTGCAGTTGTCTCGGCACCAAACCAGAAATTTCGGGTGACCCATGCTGAGCCACTTAGTTCTGATCCTGGAAACCAGAAATCCAAACAGACCAGAAATCCAAAGAGGCCGTTCGCGTCCATATTGGCAACCCAGTGCCGTCCGACCTGGTGCTCTACACAACACTGTACCTGGGCTCTCTCTGAGATCCACATGAGCTGTAGTCTAAACNNTAGGGGTTATTATGGGGGTTACTAAGGCGGATACTATAAGTTTAGAATAATTCATAGCTCACATGATTTCTTTTCGAGTTCCCAAACGTGTTAAGGGTCCACATCAGCTAGCCGCAGTAGCTGTGGAGCGGCTCAAAAGCATGCTCGCATGTACCGGAGTCATTCCGCGCCACAGCCGTGCCCGTGGGGGTTTCCCAAAATTAGGGGTACCTTTCTGGGGGTCCCCAAAATAGGGACCATAGTATATTGGGTCTATATTGGGCTACCCCTATTTTGGGAAAGTACCACTTCCTTCCGTACATCTTCTCTGTAGGGGTGTTTAGACTTGGTGCGGGCACCCATCGCGGAGTTTATTCCAGAAACATGCGGCCAGCACGTGCCACATGAGACTCGTGTGTGAGTCCTGCTACGAGCTTGTGTTGCTACAAGCACCGCAATAACGAGAGGTGCTACAAGCATGTTCGGATGCACAGTGAGACAGTGGGCCTTGCACGCCGGGCTTCATTTGCAGATAAGTCAGCTGCTCTAACTTCATGGAAAGAATGGAGTGTCTGTGAAACTGGATCTGTTGCAACTCCAAGGCATGTTCGTGAACGTTGCAGGCCCTTCCAACTTGCCTATCCTATAAGCCTGATAATCATATGCAACCCCAAACCTGCATTAAAGTCATTCTGACCCAAGGCGCAAGTGTTCAATTGTTGGGTACTTGGACCCTAAGGGCGACAAGTCATGACGCATGGTTCCTTCTAAACCTCAGTGCTGTCCTACAGATTCTGAAGCTTACTGGGGTTATAGTAAAAGGGTTTAGGGTCTAAGGACCCTCCAAGTACCGTCAAGTAGGGGCTTGGGGTCCCCAATAGTGGTTATGTAGGCCACCTTGGAACGAGAAGGTTCCAAGGAGCCGCAAAGTAGGTCATATTTGCAGACACTACCCTGAGGCTTCTAGGACTATTTTGGGCTTTCTGGGGGAAGGTTTGGGCTTTGGGGGCTAAGGTTTGGGATCCCATTTTGAGGGTCCAAGAGCCTTAGGGTAGGGCCCTATTTAGGACATATGAGCTGTAACTGTAAGCTAACCTCCTTAAAGGGGGTTAAATGGGGCATTATAGGCGATTAATATATAGGGGTTGCTAAGGGGGGGTGCTAGGAGGTTAGACTATACCTCGTATGTAGAGCTCTAGAAGCTCTTGTAACCCTTGCTGACTCTCAGTCAGGTATGCTCCATACAATCTTACATCAATCTAGGCCCAAAAACCAACGCCCTAATTTTGGATTTGCAAATCCCGTCTAATAGAGACCTACATAGATCCCATTCAAGAGTCCTATGTATTCCAGGCATCTAGGCAATCATTTTCGGGTCACTAAACCCTCTTACTCTTAACCTACGCCTAGAATGTCGCCTAGACCTGATCGACCTTTTTCAAGGAGCCAAACAATTTGAAGTACCACCCATACGCGGCTTCGGATAGTCTTGGGGGGGTCCTGTGTGGAAAATACCATATGCCCATCGTGCAGTTATTCTGGGCCATAGGTATCCCTGACAGAAACCCCCCATCACCACCATAGGGTGGGGCCCTGTGTGGCGCAAGGTCTGTCAACAGGACCCCCAAGCCCTAAACCCTAAACCCCAAACCCTGAACCCCAAACCATAAGCCCTCATAGGCATGGACTTCAAAGTTTGGTGACTGCCCTACACCCCAAACCCTACCGTAAACACTACTATTAATGTGTGAAAATAGTGGTGATAGTAATAATGATACTATTGATATTCATAATCACGATAGCAATAGTAGTAAAAATAACAGTTTTTAATAGTAATAGATCCTGCACCCAGGCATGGACTTTGCAGTTTGGTGACTGGGCTTCTTCTTCTGCAGCCTGGTTTCCAAAGGCACGTCTCTTGGGCAAAGGTTGGGGAATTGCGGGCCTTGGGGCGCAGGTTTGGGGTGTTTAGGGATTAGGGGTTTAGGACTTAGGGTTTAGGGAAATTGAAGTCCTTATATACCTATACCTATTATATGCATCATCGTTTATCCAAGTTATTCCCCTTATAATATGGCCCTCATTTACCCCAATATATCATAGTAGTATATAGTAGTTTCCATGCTAGTTCCATGGTTCCAAGCCCTAAGCCCTAAAACCGCAAACCCTAAATCCCTCTGCAAGTCCTGTTCATCATCTCATTCACGGGGTTTTGTTTTTTGAGGGTGGCCTGTTGTAAAAGCATAGACTGTCACTCCACTTCGGGGTTTTCCGAAACTTAAGGCCCTATTCCCAGTGTCCCTGAATAAGTATGACATTTCATTAGTGTTTTGGGGTCGATGTTCGAGCCCCCTGTTCGTGGAAACTGGGTTGCAAAAAAACAGCCGTGGCAGGTGTTTTTCTCCCTTTGGTGAGTACTGGGTTCTCCCTTACTTGTACATCGTTGTTTGGCAAGTAGGCCACTTTGCCGTTCGTTTTCTGGCGTTGTAGCGAGTCTTGATCTGTTTTGGGCGCGGCATGTGTTCCTCATTGAGAGAGCTGTGCACAAGTGCAGGAGCCACCAGAAGACACAGCACAAACCAAGGACACCCCAGCATTGAGAGGGATATAATCTTAAAGCCTTGTTGATTTTTTTTGCGGGCTGTTAATAATGACATGGTGAGATTCGCGAGACCAATCGGCGCCAGCTAGGGAAATTCAAGCCAGGGTCTGTGTGATGTTGCTGTTAATATACAAAGCTGCAAAAGCACCCTCATACAAACCCTATATAACCCCATCATAGTAGTTTCCATTATCTTTTCCAGTATCCCAGTATAACCCTAAGATAAACCCTATGGAACCATTATCCCGACAACACCCATACAGCTTTCCAGATTGCCTCCAAGGCCTCAGAGCCTGAGGCCCGGCCTTACGTACGTCCCAAAACCAAAGCCATCTTTTTGTATCTAGGGTTTATATTGGGGTTATGTTGGGATAATGGAAAAGAAAATGAAAACTATTACTAATGGGGCTATATAGGGTTTATGTAGGGGCAATTTTGAGAAAATCTCCTGAACTTCCAGCAAAACGCAGCCGGCGCCCTTCCCCCCACTCCTGCAAGAAGGAGCGAAGTCTGCGTCTCCTCAAACCATCCAACACCCCCCCAGAGGTCGGCGGATTCCACCCCATGGGAATCTATGAACCCCTCCATGCCTCTATATATACCTATGTAGCCCTAGTTCGTTGCCAGGTGGGTCTACTTTCGATTGCTTTCGGCCGGGGGCGCCTACACGGCGGCCTCGAGTGTGGCAGCCTTCTTGGGCAGTCAGACCAGCCGAAAGGCTCCCAAATCTGGGCTCAGGGTTTGGTGCTTTTTAAGGGTTGGGGGTTCAGGTTTGCTTCACCGGCCAGTGAGGTTCCCCTGAACTCTGAGCCCCCGAAGCCGTACCCTGGGTTAAGGGATTCGGATTTAGAGTCTCCTTGCGACTCCATCAAAGGCACAAATAATGAGGCCTACGGTGTGAAGGAATTACAGTAGATGCCTGTATCAACCGCCAACCCTGAAGCATACCCGCAAACCCTATTCTAATCATTAGGCCGATACAACACTGTTTTCTGAAATCCCTTATATTCTGATTGTAGAATGAACCCCCCAAACTTCTTCAACTGGTTGAAGCTGATTACCCTAATACCTAGCCCCTAAACCCTATAAACCCTACACCCTGAACCTTATGAACCCTAAACCCTATGAACCCTAAAGCCTATGAACCCCAAACCCTGTGAACCCGAAGCCCTAAACTCTAGAGTGCGTGGCATTGCCTGCAGGTCATGGAGTTGGCGCAGGATACGTGCCGCTTCATATCTCTGGACAAGGTGCACAGTTATATTGGGGGTTCAAATGGTTAGGGTTTAGGGTCTAGGGGTTCGGGTTTAGGTGTTTAGGGTATATTATCCCCCTATAATGGAGAATCAAATGGAGCAGAAAATGGAAAATTGCATGGAAACGGTGGGATATAGGGATTTAAGGATATACGGGTTATATCAGGGTTATATAAGAGTAATGGAACATAAAATGGAGACTACGGTAATGGGTTATATAAGGTTTAGGGTTATATTGGGCTTGCATTCTGTTATATGGGGATAATGCAAGAGAAAATGGAAACTACTATAATATATTGGGGTATATATATATAGGGTCTATGGGGATAATGGAAAATGACATGGAAACCTCTATTTAGGGTTTAGGGTCTAGGATGTACGATCCTTCTTGAGTAAGCTTCTGGAAAACAATTAGGGGAAATCAGGGTGAGGTTGACGCTAATTTTTGTTGATTGGGTCTCCAGGTAGGGATCAGTGCAGGTAAGAGCTTCGGCCGCCCTGTAACAGTCGAAGAATAAGTATAGCATGTTTATAAAGACCTTAATGCTTTACCCCTGTTATAGACTGTTCCTGGGTGGTGGCAGCATCCAAGGTCTAGGTTTTATGGAGCTCGGAGACTTGTGGCAAGCATTCAGATACAAAGCTTGGAGTGTTGGTGCTCAGTAACCCTCAGAGTCCAAGTGCCCAAGTTGTTGTTTTAGGTCCTAAATGCTCCAGCCTTTTGGCAATTTAAGCTTCCAGATCTCGTTGCTTGGGCCGGGTAAGACTTCTTCAAATGCATTGTTTGCCTCTGATTCTTCCTTATTTACTTCTGTTTGTACCCTTCTTCTGGTCCACAGAAGAACTTTTTTGGTCCACAAAAGAGAGTCACCTGTTGCCAAAGTATATTTCTTGGTATGTCTTCCTGAAGCCGCACTGGGATTTCAACAAAGCCTGAACCCCCATTCCTAAATCTGTACAGTCACCTCATACCTCTCTACCAGTAATCTTGACAAGCCCCTGAGATTCAAAAAGAGCTCGCAAGCCCTGAACATTGTTCAGGTTACGGAGAAAGACATGATCAGCTCTAGCCCAGATCCAGCTTTGAAGAGGCTGTCTACACCCTGCCAGCTCCTTGAATTTAGTGTCGTGCTAAGGTGTGTATAAGGTTTTGGGTTCAGACAGAAAGGTCTGGGCATTTGCGTCTGAGGTCGGGGCGTAGGTGCGTTGGCATCCTGCCCTGAAGCCCTTGTAGACATTGCCTGGACCCCAGATGTCCTTTCTTTTTTTGAGGATATACCCTACAAAGATGTGGGACACAAGGAAGGACATTCAGGGTCCAGGTAGCGGTGCTTAGCACATCTAGTCCCTCGACGTGCTCTGGAGGTTCTAATAGGGGTCTTGCAGCCCTACTTAGGATCCAGGCTCATTCTTGTTTATCCTGAATCTTACCACAGAGCCAAAAAAATGATAAACCCCAAGCCCTAAACCTTAATCCCTAGACCTCAACCCAAAACCCAAAACTGTAAACACTAACTCCTTTAATCCCTAGACCTAAACCCTAAACCCCAAACTGTAAACCCTGAACCCTAAATTCTCAAAACCCAACAGCCCAGGCTTCAGGACATTGATGCCTTCCTATCTCACAGCTGGCAGGATGCTTGTGGCCGAAAGTGGGAGGCTCCTGGGTTGCTTTCAAGGAACTTAAATTAAGTTACCATAATGGGTATATATATATAGGAAACATAGGGTTTCCCCAATATAGTACCCTAAACCCTAATCCCTAAACCCTAAACCCCAAACCCTATAAGGTTTCCCCAATATAGTAACTTAATTTAAGTTCCTTAACAGCAACCCAGGCTCTTCAGGCGTGGCGCAAATCCTTTAAGATGCACCATCAGCGTGAACCCCGCGCCTGGGCCGTTAGAAAAGGGAAATACAGGGGAGATGTGTTAGGGTTTAGGGTTTAGGTTGGGTTTAGGGTTTAGGGTTTAGGGTTTCCCAAAATTAGGGGTACCTTTGTTCCCATAAAAAGGATTATAGTATTTTGGGATCTAGATTGGGGTCCCGCTATTTAGGGAAACTGCCTCTGGGGTTGACCAGGGATGTATGGGGTGTAGGGCTGAGGGTTGGGGGCTCAGGGCTTCAATCAGTATGGTTCAGGGCTTTGTTTTTCATGAGGCCGGAGTAAAGGCCGGTAAATAGCAGCGCACTGTTGGTACGCTTCGGACACTACTATCCAAAGTTGTGGAATCATCAAAAGCCAAGGTTTCCGGAATCTTAAAGCCTGCACACTATACAACCATACGGCATGATACTGTACTTGCATTACTACAACTATATGACTGTATATTTCTGTAGGACTATCATTGTCGTTTTATTGCTGTATTACTAAACACATTATTACAGTACTGTATTACTATCACTCTTCTGATTCCTACTGATGCTATTATTATTATGGCTGTCAGTATTCTTACAGCTGTGATTTAGTACTATCCCTAAGGGTCCAAGTACTTAGTAATCATATGCTTGTCCAAAACCTGTACCATGATTGATATCACCCAAAAACCCAGGTACCTAATTATTGGGTACAATGACCTTCTGGCTATTATTGTCCATCCACAGCTTTCCCATTGAATCACCGACGGTCCCAGGCTTGTGGATAGACAAGTACTGCATTGACCAGCAGAATATAGAAGCTTGGTCAGCGAATAGGGTTTAGGGTTTCGGGCTCGGGGAACGTAATTATCATAAGGGTTTACGATGTAGGGATTAGTATATAGCGGGAGGGTTGTATTATGGTTCATGAAGGGGTGTTATACTATACGGGTTAGACAGGGGTATAGAGGGGGACAACGGACCCAAAAATGGAAGCTACCATTTAAGGTTTAGGGCTTTGGGGTTTAGGGGTATTATTCCCAATAAGGGAGAATCAAATGGACTAGAAAAGGGAAGATGAAAGCGAACTGGGGCCATGTTGGAGCTCAGAACGATATAGCCATATGGTGACGACCTAGATGATGAGAATTTTTGGGCCACGGTATACCAGCAAACAATTTGTATAATTTCCGCGCTTCGTGTATAAAGAGTACTTCAGGCATATGGGCGAATTTGTCCTTATGTGTGTGTGTCTGCATGTTTTTAAGTATTCATGTATGGCCGCCCCTGCCAGTCCTTCCAGGAGTTGGTGACAATATATGGAGTATTCTCCATCGAGACTGTAGATGTTTTCAAACCCTTGGGTATTATACCGGCAAATAGTATAGAGGTCATCAAGGGGTATACCAGGAGTTTAGATTATGGCTCATAGGTCATAGAAGCACCAAGAGCCTGATGTGCCACTTCGATGCTTGCGTAGAAAGACCCAGTAGAAATCCTAAATACCTAAACCCTAAACCCCTAAACTCTAAACCCTAAATCCCTAAACCCCTAAACCCTAAACCCTAAACAAGGAAGACAGCCTGATGTGCCTGCCCGTGTTCTTGGCGAGCTGCCACACACTCCTCATCATTGCTGGCGAGACCTATTTTGATCGGCTTTGGTGCGTGGAGGAGGCAGGGTTTAGGGTTTAGGGGTTTATGGTTTAGGGTTTAGGGATTTAGGGTTTAGGGTTTAGGGTTTAGGCAAGTATGGTGTATACGAAAATTCCTGCATGACCCTCAGTACCCAACACCGCTGGGAATTTTGATATTGTTATAGTATGCTATGGTCATGCAGGATTTTTAGTGTCAACCCTACCTCAAATAATATTTCGAATCCTAATATCATTCCAGGTATGTTCCTCCGATTCTCCCCTCCATATCCTCCCCCTGTTAGAACCCTCCTCTGAGATGAGATCACTTCAGACATCAAACAACTTTTTGTTCATTACTTATATTGGGGTTATATTGGGATACTGGAAAAGAAAATGGAAGCTACTTTAACAGGGGTTATATCGGGGTGTATACTATGCATTCCTCGGTTGAGTAGCTGAGAATTTGTTTATTGGGCATCTTCCTGGCCTTACTATAGGGTAAGAGTATATCCATCGATTGGATATGATATCCAGAGAAGAATGTACTCTTACGTGGTTCACTCACCAAAGCATTACCCATTTCCCTACAACTCGCTATACAACCCTAGTTTCCATATTATGTTCCATGTTCTTTTCCATGTGGTTCTGCATAAGTGCGCAAAACGCCATACAACCCAACATACCCCTGTATCATTCTATATCACCCTACATAACCCTTAAAAAACCGTAGATTTCCTTGTTTACCGTCAAGCATCCCTTTTTCCTCCAGGTTTTTGTTTACCTGCAGATGGACCGGAACGTGGCATCAATCGAACTGCTGCCCATTTGTCATGGGCTGGAGGACTGTAAACACAGCCTAGGTTCTTGAGCCAAAAAAGGATACAATATCATTTCTGTACACACCTATGTATATACTATATATGCGCATGCGCAACATACCTAGCAGATTTCCATATATTTTTGTACATGCACAGGTCTTCCGGAAGTGCAGGAAACACATTGGGTTTAGATCAGGCTCCTGGTGTGTTTCAAGGGGTCAGTACCGATAAGTTTCGTGCGGAGCAACACTTCGCCGAGAAACTTGGGGCTTCCAATGGTTGAAGGAAGAAACCCTAAACCCAAGACATTTCATCCCTAAGCCCTAAACCCTAAACCCTAAACCGACCCTCGACCCCATCAACCTCAAACTGCCCAGGAATCCACATAGCCCCAGTTGAAACAGGCTCGAGCCCACCCCAAACCCCCAAACCCCTAAAATCGGGTTTCGAAAGGATTGGGACCTTTCTGCTTAGTCCTTATGATATGGGTTGTGTACTGCATCAGGGTCAATATCTGTGGGCCTCTATTGCTGGAACCCCCTAGCCTTAAACTCAAACCCCTAAACCCTAAACTTGCCCTCTATTCCCGGAACCCCTATATAAACCCTATGTAAAGCCCTATATAAACACCTATAACCCCTTTAGAGGTACCCATGCAAATCCTACAGCAATGGAGGACCGCATTACTAGCTTCGATGCCGAGAACGCTCAGTGCCATGACGACCGCGATCGGCAGAAGCTCCTGGCAACGATTGAGGCCTCGGGGATTGCCAGCGAAGTTTAGGGTTTAGGGCTTAGGGTTTGCGGCTTAGGCTTTAAGGCTTAGGGCTTAGGGCTTAGGGTTGAATCTTTAGGGCTTAGGGTTTATAGCTTAGGGTTGCAGGTTGAGGGTTAGGGCCCGAGTGCATAAGCTAGTTGCTGTGTAGAAGAATTGATAGTCGGGGATATCGTGGCCGCACACCTTCCGCAGTTGCATCTCTCCTACGGTTGCCTTTATCATCCTAGTATACGGTTTTGGGTACAGGATGTAGGGCATGGGGTTACTCAATTTTGCGATGCTGCCTGGGCTATAGTCTAGGCTCCAATTATCCCCCTTCATAACCCCTATCATACTCCCCTATATAATTCCCTACGGAACCCCGTTTAAGGAGCTTATACTATAGCTCATGTGGACCGCAGACGAAGCCTTCCTGGAGCTTCGAGTGTAGGTTTAGGGTTGAGGGTTTAGGGTGGCTCCCATTTATACGCTGAAAGCCCCTGAGCGCCGTAAGCCGTAAACTAAACCTTGGGTTTCGTAAGCCGCAGTAAGCAAATTCCTTACCATCAAAGAAACCGGATTAGGAATTTGATTTTGACCCCCGCTCATATGAGCCATAGTCCAAACTCCTCGAAGGGAGGTTATTTATAGGGGACTACTTTTGGGGCTAAGGGGGATACTAGGAGTTTAGACTGTAGCTCGTATTATTCTGACCGGCATGGGCCTTCCATTCTGAATACATTTTCCTGACCCTAAATCCTAAACCCTTGACCCCAAGCCCCCTAAAGCCTAAACCCTAAACCTTCAACGCCTGAACTAGAATGGAGATTTTGGTTGCCTCAACTTCCGAAGCTAGGACCTCAGCACTATCATAGAACCGCTCTATACGCCAAAGCCGACCTCATTTACGGGTTTAGGGTTTAGGGAATGCCCCAAAACCGACCTCAAATCCCAAACTCGCAAATCCTGTTTCCCAAACCCGGCCCCGAATCCTGTTCCTTAAGCCGCAGAACCGAATTAATCTCCAACCTCCAAACCCTACACCTCAAACCAATGTGAGACTTCTGAGGCTAAGCCGTCGAAGGGCAACCCCCATAATCCCCATGTAGTGCGTACACATTTTCGGGGTATCCAAGGGCCCCATGCCCCAACACCTTTCAACTTGCACACCCTAAGCCCTCGACTCCAAACCCGAAACCCTAAACCTTACACCTTACTTGGAGGGACAGCGGGACTTAGTATGTAGGTTAATAGCCCCTATATCCCATAT